ATGTCTATAAAAAAGGGAAATTAAATAAAAACGCAGACGCATTGTCTGGAATTGAACTTAATGCTAACGAAACCAAGCATGCAAATGATAAACTTCTAATTTTTGTTTATAAGGACCAATTCAATGATCAATTAGCATCCACTTCTGGTGTACAAACACATAATCAAAATTTAGATCAATGATTGTAGAAGCTAATGATAGCCAAATCGACATAAATACTGATAAATCCTCTGCTCAAACAATTCATTCTAGCCATGAACATCCAATTATAGGCATTCCTATAAATTGATATTCATTTTAATAGTTCTCATCACCCCGAATCTAATGGAATGATAGGAAGATTCCATTCAACTTTAATTGAATATATTAGATAGTTAAACAATCAGGAAATTTTCAAGAAGGAACTTATAGAGATTACATTCAATTATGCAATTTTATCATATAACAATACGATTCATTCAGTTACAAATTTAAAGCCTTATGAGATTATAGCAAGACGTTTGGGTACTGAATCACTATTCAATCTTGATGTGGAGAATCAGTTAGTGAACAATTATTTTTAAAATAATAAGAAAATATTCAAATTTTAAACAATTCTGATTTGCAGCAAGACAAAGAAAGAGTTATTAGCAAGATGAACAAAAATCGTGAACCATTGCTTTCTATTTCAGATAAAGTGTATCTAAAGAACGAGTAGAAACAGAGTAAAACACTTAACAAGTATAAGCTTGAAACTGTTTCTAAGGTAGACAAAAATCTAAAAACCGCAAAAATTAAGCCAACGCATGGCAACTTAACCGACAAAATTCATTTGTCAAATGTCAAAATATTAAGAAAGGTTTCTAAGACCAAAAAATCATTTACAGATTCATCACCAGCGCAAAAACCATCCAAATTAAGGATATCATCCAAAATTTGGGAATACCACCAATAAATTTAGGACCAGCTAAACTGCAAAATTCTGAGCACACCCTCGTACACTATACTATATTATAGATTAGGAAATTTATATAAGGAGTGTAATAAGTTAAATAGTCAATACTATGATTTTAAGCTTAAATATTATAAGTATAATACAGAATTTGAATATTATAAGCGAATGTGTAATGTAACTCAAGAATCTCTTTTAGAAAAGTTAGATAATATCCGTAATAGATCACGTAGAGGCTTTTTTAATGGAATTGGTAGTGTAGTTAGATTTATCAAAGGTAATTTAGATTCTTATGATGGAGAAAAAGTTCATAAAATCCTTAATCGTATGCAGAACAATGAAGAAAACATTGAAAATCAATTGAAAATACAATATTCAGTTACACAAATTAATCGAAAATTTAAATTTTCCTATTCAAAACATTCAGCACAATGAAAATTTATTGAAATCGTAAATATTGCAACTGAACGAAATTGCGCAGGCAAGCAATTCTCAGTAAATTGCAAGATATAGAAAATTCTGTTACATTTTGCAAGTTAGTAGTTATGCATCCAAGTATTATCAAACCAAGCGAATTACATAAAGAACTCTCGAAATTATCTTCCTATTATAAAAACATGCTTCCTATGATGTCGAATTTGAAAATATGTTAGATTTTGAATCATTCAGAAAGGTACACTGTAAGGTTAATTTTGATCAAATCATTTATTTCTTATCTATTCTAATGGACTTCGAGGATGCATTCAAATTATACTACATGCACCTACAAAATATAGGTAAGAATTTATTTCGATTATTCCAAATTTTAAATACTTTTTGGCATCGATCGATAAGCATTCAATCAAACTTCCAAATGTCATTTGTACCAAAAGTAATACTACTATCCTCGTCAAGTCCAAGCAAGCATGAAAATATCTTGTATAGCAAGGATTTTGAAAAACAAGCACGCGAAAAATTGCTATTTTACCAAGGTAAAGATAAGTGAAAGTCACGCTGAACGCATCCCAGATATCAACCAGTACCTAGCCGTTTTCCTAGTTCAAGAAAAGTTAGAGTTCCTCTGTCAAAGGCAAATAGAATCAAGTGTCTTATCAGGTATATTCTTGATATTGCAAGATAACTGTACAATCTTGTTTAAAGAGGAACCGATTAAATTTTTGGACAAATGTTTTGGCCTAGTTTTATTTTGGCAAAGTGTACCTTCTGTGAACATATGATAATCGCACACCAGAAAAGATGGGTTGTGTGGAAAATTTTAATATTTGTTATTATTTCTAAAACTTGAAAAATTCATTTATTTTACGGAATAATGACTCTGAAGTTGAGTCATTATTTTTCAGATAATGATTGTAGAAGGAAGATAAACCAAAATATGTGTGTAAAAATAAAAACAAAATTAAAAAAAATGTTACCTTGTTTTATAAAGTATCCTTCCGACAAATATTTCAGTGCGGACCTGTATTTGAGCGTGCGGTGTTGGAGCACCGGCATGCCCTCCCCTGTGAGGTCTTAAGTCACCTGATTCACGAGCCCTTTGTACTACATTAACAAAGGCACGAGGGGTCGGTTGCACTCGATTGGGAAACCGATCCGCATAAATTCGTGATGCCGCGGCAGCATTTTGTAAAGACTCCCCTCCGTAAATAAGAATCATGTCCACAAGTTCAGCATTTTCGTAAATATGTGCCATTTTTTATTTCGTTTGAGCCACGCAACAAACACCACTATTCACTCACGCGTTACCGACTGACAGATTGACTGAATACAACTGAATAAAATTGTAGTAAAAACATCGTGATAAGCGTTTCAAATTCTTTCGCTTTTTTTTCCGATGCGATGTACCGATAAGGCGGATTATGTCCGTTGTTGCCAAACACGAGCACATGATATTATTATTGAGACAGGGCGGTACTCAAACTTCTAAAGGGCTATAACTTTGTTACTTTAATTTTACCAGAAAAATGTTAACATTTCTTTTGATCAGATCTACTCACTGTTAAAATAAATGACTCAACTTCGAAGTCGCCCTGTATAATGTAAATGTGTGCTCTATTATTGGGGAAATGTTTGAATAACTGGAATATGTAGTCCTTCTAATTTTTTGCAGTTCAACAAGTAAGAATAAATGATACGAAGTTATTTGGTTGGTTTTTGGGTAGTTAGGCCGTCGTAAAATATCTTTACTTGACGTTTCGCCAACACGAGTGGTTGGCATCTTCAGGAGGTGTTCACAGTTTGGAGTCCTGTGAGCTACTGACATCTCCGCGGTGTTAGCACATACTTATATATGGCGGCTCGAATGGTTGGGATAGCTCTTCGGGAATCCTCGGCTGGCGTCGCGCTCGGGATGACTCGGCTGTTGTTTTGCCATTTGGATGACACAATTTTTTTGTTTTTTAATACTGGTATCCAGGTAGCCTCCCTAAATGATCTAGCATGATATGCTGGTGAGGTAGCATTGACCTAGGCTTCTTCAAATTAAATGCAGTGGTCCGTTTTGGTGAGTGTATGTCCAGACGGCAGTTCGCTTTGTGTTCGTTAATTCTGGTATTCACTGATCGTTCTGTTGTTCCGATGTACACAAATACAAGGTATGCGATAGACTCCCGAAGACGTCATGGGGTTTCTCTTATCTTTTGCCGATCTCAGACTTTCACTTATTTTTGTCGTTGGTCTGTATATTGTTTTGACGTTCTCATAGAGAAGTAGACGTCCGATTCTGTCTGTGACTCTGGGAATATATGGCATAAATGCTTTGGTCACTGGTTGGTTGTTTTTCTTTGGCTCTGGCATTACTTGATGTCATGGATTTTTTAAGTTTCACCTCTGAATATCCACTGGCCATTAAGCTGTTTTTTAGATGTATAAGTTCTAAATCCAGTTCTTCGGGTTCACAGATTGTCCTGGCTCTTTCTGTTAGTGTTTTAATGATGCCATATTTCTGAAAAGGGTGGTGACTGGAGCTCCTATGCAGATAGCGGTCTGTGTGCATTTATTTTTTATATACCGTATGTCGTCAGTCGTCTCTCTCGGCGGATTAGTAATACGGCCAAGAAAGCCAGTTTGCCGTTGTCCTCTAGCTCCATGGTGAATTTGATGTTGTTATGCATGTTATTGATATGAGTGAGGAATTCATTTAGTTTCTCGGATCCGGGGCTCCATATTACAAAAGTGTAATCGACATTTCGAAACCATATTTTGGGTTTGTATGGTGCACTGCTGAGAGCACGTTGTTCAAGCTCCTCCATGAAGAAATTCGCTACCACTGGACTCAAAGAGCTGCCCATTGCCACACCTTAAGTTTGCTCGGATATTGTGTTGTCCCACGAGAAGTGTGTAGTCGTCAGGCACAGTCTGCATAAATTGGCGATGTTCTCTGAAAAAATGCAGCTGATCTGTTCCATTGCAGCATCAACTGGTACTTTCGTGAAGAGCGATACTACGTCAAAGCTGACTAGTATATCGTCTTCTTCGAGATGAATTTCCTTTATTTTTGATATGAAATGGGCAGAGTCCTTTATGTACGTGTTTGATTGCCCAATGTGTAGTTCAAGCAGGGTTGTGAGGTGCTTGGCTAGGTAATATGTTGGTGAGCCTATAGCACTAACAATGGAACGCAACGGAATGTTGGCTTTGTGGATCTTTGGTAAGCCATAGATTCGTGGAGTTAGTGCTTGACTTCTGCACACCTTTTTCTTAATTCCATCTTGAAGGCTCGACTTTTGTACCAGTGATTTCGTTGTTCTGACAATGCGTTGCGTTGGGTCTCTGGTTAGCTGTTTATAGGTGCTCGGATCTAAAAGGTCATTGATTTTGGATTTATAATCGTCGATGTCTATGACCACGGTGGCATTCCTTTTGTCCGCCGGCAAAACCAGATCACTCTCGTCTCTGTTCAGATCTCTTATTGCTCTTAATTCTTTCGACTTTAGGTTGCTTTTAGGTGACTTAGCGTTCTGTAGAATTCTGGCTGCTCCAGTACGGATAACCTGAGGCCGGTCTTATGGTGATACCCTTAATGTTGATTCCAGATTTGCGATAATGTCTTCCGTTGGCACTTGCTTCGGAGTTATTGCGAAGTTTCCTCTTTTGGCGAGCATGGTGACAAATTACGGCTACTTAAATTGATGACCGTTCTGTTGGTATCTAGTGTAGGCTTGGACTTTTTGCTTTTAACGAGATTTCCAAATTTCTTCTTTTGACGTTCCGTATTTTTCTGGTGTTCATGCTCTTGTACGAGATGGAGTGTATCTTGTCCCAGTCTGTACGGCGAAGACAGTTACTTAGATGGTAAAAAATGTCAATGAGTTTTTTGTTAATGCTGTCTAAATTTCTTCTGGTGGACCGAAGTCTATCTCTAAGAAGTGATTTTTCCATCCGACGATAGATCCTTTGTGCTTGTACTGATCCGATCAGTCGTTTGGTTTTCAGAAACATCGGAATCAGATCCGCTTTCCGGCATCTGGACAGAAAGCTGCTAAGTTGCTCAACATCAGCCTTTATTCTTATTCATACAGTGGTTTTTCGCAGTTCAACAAGTAAGAGTAAATGATACTTAATTGCTTAACACCAGCCTTTTTATTCATTCAGGGAGATTTCTATAAAATAGACGTTTTGAAAGGGTTGAAAAGTGTTCTTCTTTGTCAAGAACCTTAATATTGCCATAGCTGATAAAATGACCTGTAGTGTTAACATGTGATGCTGAAGCACTCTGTGCATAATCTGGCGTAACGTTTGTGTGAAGTTATCCTGCCTTTTGATGATCTAGATTTTTGGCCTATGTAAACTAAATTGCAGTTGTTGCAAATTATGCAATAGACGGTGTTGATCAAGTCAAGCAATGGAACCATATCCTTCATTTTGTAAAACACACTATGACAAGACAACATAGACAACTCTGGGATTAGAAGCATCATCCGTAATATTATCATTATTATTAGTTAAAGAATTACTGGGGGTGGGGCTGGAAATTGCTGGGTTGTCATTGCTATTACTATTATTAGGAATAGGCAAAATATTAGAAGGAGGGCTGAACAGGATTCTAATAATCAAATATTTCGGATAAGCATTATTGATGAATAAATTTAAAAGCTTCCGTATAGTACTGTCGGAGATTTTAACTACTATTTTTCATTTGCTTCTCCAAATTTATCTTTATTTTAAGTTCATCATAAAACCTGAAGTTCAGGAACCTTCCAGAGAAACTGGTTTCCTGTACCAGTCTATCAGTAACATATTGTCGTTAGTGCGAATCAATCGTGAGTCCAAAAAAGGAACTGATTATTTTTCATCTTCCTTTTCGATGGTGAACTGAATCTAAGGGTCATAGCTGTTGAATTCTCAATAATACTATCCACTCTCTCAGAAGGAAGGCAAACAATAATATCATCCACACATTTCTTTTTTATGAAGATTAGGTTAAAGGACAATACTTGAATAACAACATCAAGCAGATCATCCGCCACGAATTTTGCCATAATTGGAGATAACACTGAGCCCACTGGGCAATCTTGTATTTGTAAGAAGACTTTGTATTAAACGTGAAATAACTATTTTGGAAAAGGTGCTCTAAAATATTAATGAAAGAATCCAGAGTTAGATTGCTGTGTTGGCATATCTGATCCCAATGTTTGTTTATGGATCAAATGCAAGCTTCCAAATAGACATTACTGAAAACTGAGACCACATCTAGACTACCAATGACATGATCAGGTGGTATTTGAAACCTATTGAATTGTTGAAAAACATCAAAAGAGTATTTTTTATAATATTCTCACTTGATGTAAGCTGACTCTAGAATATCCACACCTAATGAGGACAGACCTTGCGTCGCTAAACCAATAGATGTCAGTATAGGTCTCACCGAAAGAATCGGTTTGTGTATTTTGGGAAGAACATAAAATTTAGGAGAGCAGAATTATAGGTAATGGAGGACTTCTTTTGGTCTTGGTTGATTTGTCTAGAATTGAATAGTCTGTTAACAATGTCATTGCAACCATTCTTCACTTTAGCTGTAGGATCCTTATTGATCACTTTATATGAGGGATCATCCTCAATAAGTTATTGCAAAGTTGAAAATATTGTTGTCTTAACATAATTAAAGTCATTGCTTTTGTCTGATTTTGTGACAATTGATTCGGGGTGATCTTTTAGAAATTTTCCTGTTTTATTTAAAAGGTTATGATAAAAAGAATGTTTCTTGTTGATGTTACTGCTGTGATAGTAGTTTGTGATAATATTAGTGGAAGGAGATGTGAAAATGTTTCTTTCTATGCCATCGCCTATAGAAGAAGCTATAGAATCTACATAAGCTAGAATATGTCTGATTGGAATGTCACTCTTAACAACCGGTTCAATACCGAATTTTGGACCTGAGGAAAGAAATATCGTGACCTCATCTGGAATGTGGACAATAGTAAGATTCATCACCCAATTTGACTGAGGGTTGAGCAAAGTTATCACAGAGTCATTTAGTAACCTGTAACTTATGAATACTAAAATTTTTGATAGCATGGAACAAAATATTGTAATGTCTCAATTGAATAGGTTGAAAGTTATTGGAAAATAAAGGGAATGTGGAAGAAAAGATTTCAGTTTCATTTTGTCATAATTTGAGTATTTTTTCCATTTTTTAATTTGTTCGGGTTCATTGTTAAATAGTTGTAACACGTATCTATGTGTTCCGTCGTTAACGACAAACCCAATGTATCCGGTCTTTTGGTTTTATAGTTGTAACAAGTGTTCTCATCTACGATTCCGTTCTAAAACACCATTTCGCTGCAACCTCATCGACGAGTATATAATTTGAAAAACTAAATCTGTTCTAAATTGGTTGCTATTTTCATATTTCTGCTTTAACTCTGAAGATGGCAACATAATTTGTCGAAAGCTCGAGATTTGAGTCAAAAGACGCTTTAAGTTTTGCCAATTCCCAATAAACAATTTAATTGTATTTTTTACCCAAGTGGTCATTGGCAATGGCAATGACTACAGCTCGCATAATATCCACAGATTTGGGATTTTTCCAACACATCGATTAACGATATGGGACATCTCAGTTACATTATTGAAGGACTGGATAAAGTGCAGAAAATGGTTGTCACATGAGATAAGCAGACGAATTTTATTAATAAAGTGCAGGAAGAACGGCATCCTACCATCACGTATTAACAATCGCTTAAAATCCATCAACCAAATTGTACAAAGGTTGAGATTTCAGTCAAAAGAGTTCACTACGCTTTAAGTTTTGCCAATTCCCAATAAACAATTTAATGGTATTTTTGGCCCAGTTGGTCGTTAGCAATGGCAATGACTATTGCTCGCGTATATATATATATACAAAGGGAAAATGATCATGCGGAGAAAGGTATATATAGGAAAATAATGGGCAAAATCCGCAAAAAGGAGGAGAGTGGATTGACTGGATGACTTCGTCAGGCCCGAAATGAATGCACATATGTAACTACAAAAGTACGGGTGTAACCTGAGTAAAACGAAGATGGAGAGGGAAAAAACGATACACGAAGTCCACAACAAGAGCCAACCTACACATTGTAGTATAAAATGGCTAGAAGACCTCGAATTTTCAAGGTGACATCCAAGCACAACCACGCGGCCGGTAGGCTATAACCAAAATTCGATATTAAGTAATATATCTAAATTGCTAGAGAAGGCTATGTATCATAGACTAATTATAATTATGCTTTTCGATCTATCTGAGCACTATAGATAAAATATACTTAGGCAAAAACTACATTTTATGGGTAGAGGAGGTTTCATTTTAAGTTTGCTGATCTCAAGCATAGAGGACATAAAACTGAACCGTATATCCGATGTCTATCCTCTGAAGCAGGTACACTGTGAAATGATTTGCCCAGCTATATCTCTGATGGGATATAACTATCTTTGCAGATGACACCACAGTTACTATATCTGCAAAAGATCGGCTAATCCTAAATTCAAGTAAGATTGTAATAAACTTTCATCCATCGCATAATTAATATAGAACTATAGCTACTTCATCTGACTCGTAAGTTACTGGGTACATAGTTTGATAGTAGGCTACATTTTCAAGAACATATTGACCGTGTTTATAAAATTTTAAGTACAGCATATTTCGCCATACTGCAGGAAAGATAGTTTCTAAACGTAAAATCCGTGGTGAATATACGAGTACATATATTGTTCGCTGGCCTATAGCCACATATTTACAACATCAGATTAATTTTGGAATGAAGCCACTTGACTCCTGCAGATAAATTTTTAAGTCAAGTGAAGATATTAATATGCGTAATGTAGTTAGCTGTCAAACGCGTAACCTATGTTAAGAAATATAATAATTTATTTCCAATTATCAATACGAAATATAAAAAATATGAAAATAGTCCAGAAACATACTGCAACCAATTTAAAAAATCTCCATATTACAACTGCGTCGAGTTATTCAAAAAATTACCAGTTTAAATTCAACAAAATAACTATGATTCATTTAAAAAATAAGTTTACAAAATTATTGCTCAAAAATTTTACGTCTTACAGTGTAGCTGAGTACCTGGGATGTACATGAGGATAGTATCTATAGTTACTCTGACATTGATATGTATTATTACATTTTTATTGATCTTTATTGTTTTGTAATACACTTTTTTACCACATTTACAAATTTGTATCAAGTGGATATGAATAAAGGATATAAGTACTTGTTTTAATGGGGCATAACTGAGGTTTGAATAATGTTTTATAAGTAGTAGTAGGATAAAGTAGAGTGCCAAAACTATTTATATCAAATAGTATATAAAATAGTTTTTATCATACAAAACAGTCGCTGAAACGATTTCCGGAAAAATGAATTTCGGGAAATGTTTGGGAATTTTGGGGAATTATTTGGGAATTATCGGAAAACTATGGTACGGTACAATAAATTATGGGAGAATTTCCTGAAGTTAGAGAAATTATTATGCATCAATATACATTTATACAAATTAGTGGCAGTAGTTAGCCCCTCTTTCTTGTTTATTCTCTGAGAAACTTGTCAATACAAAACATACAATTCAGGATTTAAAAGAGTGCTACGATGTAGCAGAAATGACACCGATTTGGATGTAATAACTGTCTTCTTGATAAATCAACGCGTTGCTATATTAATGAATCCTTAAGAAAAAAACGTTAAACCTGAAAGATGATGGGCTAAAAATAACTAGACTTTCGCCACAATAATAGTTTTCATCTGTTTTCTACAGCCACTACTGAAATTGTAAAATACTTGAGTAAAACTTCATTGAAATTTGAAGTTTCATAATATGCTTCATTCACAAAGAGTACTAGTTTGCACTAATCACGCATTATATTAATCCATTTCATTACATTTTAGTCACAAAGGTGGCATACATATTAGAGTTTATCATCAGGAAGGTAGCTTTTAATGTGCTTCATGCACTAGAGTACCTAGTATTAACGATTAACACTGCTTTTAAAAACTATTACAAATACTATTTTATCATCATCCAATGTACTAGTATCGCATTAAATTAGCCACCCAGAATAATAAAATCGATGTTTCTATTTTCAGCTATTACAAAAGAACCTCCCAGGTTGGAAGGTCTAAGGTCATCCTACACCGAAGGTGACATACTGGCTGCACGTTGTACGTCTGATAGTTCAGATCCACCAGCTACATTGTCCTGGTTCATCAATGGCAAACCTGTAAGTAGTTTGATTTTTGTTACAACGGTAGCAGTGTGTTATTTATGTTTTATAAGTTATTATTAATTACAAAATATGAGTTGTTCCGATGCTGTAAGACACTTAAAAAGTACAATACGTTGCAGGATATAAAGTGACTGGCATAGATTGAACAGGAATTTGAAACCATTTCTGAAAAATTTAAGTGAAACATATATTTTTCTTGACAGGCGAAAACGCTGCCCGTTATGATCGGCCTATGTTAATGTGCTATGACGTCATACCATTTGTAAACAGCACATGACAACAGCATAACCTCTCAAACTTTTAAACGTATAACTTCTCCTAGTTTACACAAGAAATATGGTAATTATAGTAACTGTATCATCCGAGAATGTAAAAACACATCGATAAAGGTCCCAGAAAAGCTATAGGTTGGAGTGCCCAGGGAAATAAGTATACTCAACACTGTATATTGCATGGAGCATACCTTATGTTCGGGACATATATTATATTTTACTGTGCAGATTTTATCGCCCTGTATGAGTTGGACGTAACCTACAGCATCATCACCTTACGATTCCCTTGCAGATGTGTAAGAAGTAATACAATATTGGAAAAAATGTTCAAAGGTTACAACGTATGTGCTTAGTTTTGAATAATTTCTGAAATGGAAGAGTATGCAAGTGTATTGCTTATTTTGTATTTTTATGAAGATATGAATAACGCCGATATCGTTGACCCATGACCATCGAATGAAAATCTCAAAGCAAGGCATTGCGGGATATGTTCATGGTATGATGAGAAACCCACATAAAAATAGTACTACAATGAGGACAATTAACACTGAATCAGCACAATGTCATAAGCGGTTTTTTCTTGGTAGACAAAGATCATAGGTTCCTGGATGTTAGAGATTCAAATAATGTACCGAGTTAACGATAAAAACATAGTAAACTTGATACATCTCAATATATAAAGCTTAGGAAAAAAGTTCATGATATAGCGTTATTAGGTTTTGAATACACTTATGACGTAATTTGCTTGAATGAACAGTGGTACTTAAATGACTACTACTATTCGTCATTTATTTGTCTGGACGGTCCGTAGGACCTTTGCCCATTCACTGTCTGATGTACGTTAGTCGAATCTGTCAGTCCTGGTTGCCCAGAAACCAGACAAAGTCATGGAAAAAGAGAAAGGGTAAGAGAAGAAAAAAGGAGAAGAGCAAAGAAAAACAGATATGCTTAGTTTAAGAGGAAACACCTAGGCTTTTTGACTTGGTAGACGGATTAATTTTTAGGTGAACTAAACAAATTTTTGATTCGGTTTTGTTAGAGTGTAATTTTGAGTTTACTAAAGATTCACGCTAACTTTTGATTACAGTGCGAGCCGTGGCCTTGAATGTTTACGAACTTGCTCCACTGTGTAGTACACTGAGTCACACAACAGAGGGTTGCTGTGCGATTCCGCTTGACTATAACGTCGCTGCGCCTGAAGCTTGACATAATCCCTCAAGTAAAGACTGTCAAGGTCTTTGTGTAGTGTCTCATTTGAGACATACCATGGAGCGTTCCAAATTGTCCGCAAAGTTCTGCTTTGCAGTACTTGAAGACTTTGCATGTGTGTCTTGGCAAGAAAACACCAAGACGCACATGCATAAGTAATGGCTGGTCTAATAATCACTTTATATAGTCGAACTTTGTTTATCAAACTCAATTTGGAGGATCTACATAACAAAGGATATAGTTGCCGAAACGCAATTTGGAATTTTGTTTTTATGGATGCTGTATGTTTCTGCCGGGTCATGCCTTTATCAATGGTGACACCGAGATACTTGGCAGAACGTCCATGGCACACGATTTCCGTCTACAGAAACCTCTGCTGGGGGGCCGCGACGTTTTTTGGTACAATAAATAGCCTGCGTTTTCGTATGATTAATTTTTATCAGCCACCGTTCCGCCCACTCTAGAACTTCGTCCACCGCATTCTGCAACCCATCGTGAACCAGATCACCAGTACACGACTGGGCGACAAATGCAGTGTCGTCAGCATAGAGGTAGACTTCACAGTTGCTGGGGGAAGGGACATCATGGATGAAAAACGAATAAAGAATTGGTCCTAGGACCGAACCCTGAGGAACACCGGCCCGTACTGGCCGTGTTGTTGACAAAACATTGTTAATTTTGATCCGAAACTTCCTTCCTTCAAGAAAGGATTTCAGTAATTTTAGAAGCCAAAAAGGAAAACCCTTTTGGATTAGTTTATAGAGGAGGCCCGCGTGCCACACCTTGTCAAAGGCTTTTGAGACATCCAAAAGCAAGATGCCAGTACTCATGCTAAGGGTGAACCCTCTGGTTACATGCTCCACCAACCTGACTGCCTGTAGCTCGGTGCTATGCTCGGACCGAAAACCGAATTGGACTTCAGGAATCACATGGTGATTTGACGAAAAATTCTCAAGGAGACGATAAATCACCATTTTCGGCGAGCTTAGAAGGAGCTGACAGCAGACTTATGGGACGGTAATCCTGAGGAAATATCGAACCCACCTTCTTTGGAATCATGATGACCTCAGCAGTCTTCCACCCAGCAGGGAAGTACTGGATTTTGAGCGTCGCATTGATTATTGTCACCAAGTATGTCAGGGCTTTAGGCAAGAGCAGCTTCAATGCCTTGTTGGTGATTTGATCCTCCCCAGGTGCTTTACGCACCTTGAGGTCTTTAATATGACTTAGTAACTCCGCTGGTGTGCAATGTGGAAACACGGAGGGTTCCGCTAATGTGCTATGTGGAGCCACAGACGAATCTTCTGAAAAAGAGTCATCTGAAGAGGATTCAGTGCCTCCGCTAACGCCGTTGGCCCTAAAATATCTCCTGGCGGATCGTACGATGTGCTGTTCCTCGTCTAGGTCAATATCGAGATCATAGTTGGGAGAGAACTGTTTTTTCATGGCATCAGCGAAAACCTCGACCTTATCCTCCGTTCTGAAGACTATGCCTTCAGGACCGTGGATGTGTGGGAGTTGTTCTCGCTTTCCGTTTCTGAGTGACTGCGACCCTCCAGAAAGGAATACTTGAATCAAGCATTCCAGCCAGAAACTCGCTCCATTGCTCGTTGCGGAGTTCGTGCAGTGCGTTTCTCACTTCATGGACAAGATGTGTAGCCCTACGAATGTCATCAGGATGACAAGACCTTTTTGCCTGCTTAATAGCGGCTCTTTTGTCAGAGATTTTCTGACGAATGTCCGCAGGCAAAAAAGGTCTGCCGTGTCGTTGTACAGGAAATACAGCTGCACGCTGTAGAGCTGCTTGAATGAAACTTGTCCACTCCGCTTGAGCGGCATCTATTCCAGACTCATCATCTATAATCGGGATATTGGGAAACTCTCTAAGGAGCAACTTGTATAGGTCCCAATCAATGCGTTTCCTTGGAGGAGCTGCCTCCTCAGAAGTTTGCTCATTGCCCACATCCAAGACAACAGGTAGATGGTCACTAGAGATATCATACAAGATTCGAGAAGAGATACTGTATCTACAGTTTTTAGATATCGCGAAATCGATGACACCTGGTGCCTGAAGATGGTTGAATGGATAATGTGTCGGTTCTTCAGTGCTATGTATAAGGTACCCATTTCGCATCACATGGTTGTACAATCGAACCCCACTAGTGGAATTCAACCTAGAATTCCATGCTCGATGTTTGCAGTTCAAGTCTCCTGCCACAATAAGCGGACCCGAGTAGTCCAAAAGGACCTCCAGATCCGCCTCTTGTAGCCTGGCACCACACCTGACATACACCGATGTGATTTTCAACGAGACACCTCCCGCCATATTGACTGTCAGAGAAGCTGCTTCGATGCTATGCATCTCCGCATTAGTGCTTCTATAATAGTCTATACCGCGTTTAATCAACACTGCTAAACCGCCGCCTCGACCATCCAATCTGTCACCTCGGATAACATCATAATTCGTAAAACGATCTCCCGGATTAAGCAACGTTTCCTGCAGCAAGGCCACATCTATACCTTCATCCAAAAGAGGAGGTTGGGCAGAGGGGGGCAGGCAAGGTTGCCTCCCGAGCTGCATCCGCGTATGATATATTGCGCCTTTGCGCTATAACTTGCAAGTTCCTCCTTGGAGTGAACTTGCAAGTCCGGCTATTTGCGGGATGTCCCTCTCCACAGATCGCGCACTTGCGTTCTTCCTCTTCTGTGAGGGGGCACAAATGCGTCATGTGGTCCTTTGCACATTTTAAGCATTTGGGCGGTGCAGTGCAATATGACTGCGCATGCCCATACTTTTGGCAGCGGTGACACTGCCCAATGAGTCTGGAGTTCTTCTGAACCTCAACTCGAATGGCCAGTCCCAGCAGTTCGTGTTCGTTGAACACTTGCTGAGACTTTTCAGTCTTGGGCAGTATCACGACCACCAAAGGCATGGGCGCGCCGCCGCTACGGTTCAATCGAATGATGTGAAGAGGGCTATATCCCCTCTGCTCCAGTTCTCCCTTAATCTCAGTATCTGAAAAGTTGACGGGAACTCCTCGAACCACCGCATGGATGTTCCGTTCCGAAGGGAGAGGAAAAGTGTGATGGGGCACTTCTTCCTCTCGGAATAGGCGAACGATCTTACGGTAGTCGTCCTCGGATTTAGGAATAATCCTTATTCCCGCATCGACGGCAACCGCGCGATCTATTTTAATACCTAGGGAAATAAACTTGAAATTTAAAGTACGCCATCTCGTCCCGTCGCGTAAGACGATCTGGGTTATGCGCCCTTGTCGTGAGGGTTGTGTTGATACCACGACGGTTGGACGAGATGACGGAGGAGAAGTAACATCGGCTGACGGAGTCACCTGACAGGTAGATAACGTGGTCCCTGGCTTGGTAATAGAAGCATTAATAGTGTTTCGATTTGATGAATTGGGGGAGGTGTGAATTGGAATTGATCCTGTATTCGGAAGAGCAGGAAAGTCTTGGGTTGATCGATCAGCCTTGTCGCCTTTCCTCCTTCTTGATTTTGCTTTTACAAATCCTTCAGTCTGTACGTCTTCGTCTGTGGATGTGAGATGATCATCAGAAACGTTTCTCAGTGGTCTTTTTAGGGTCTTTGTCCGTTCTTTAGGGGATTCTTTTGAATTTAGTAATATGGTTACCTGGGCGGTAAGGCTGTCAATTTTAGCTGTCTGGTCCTTGATGGTCTCCATTAGGTCTCGAATCTGCCTCGCCTGGTCGTCTATAATCAGCATCAGTTTTTCGATCGTTTTCTGCTCCGATGACATCTGCGTCAGTGAGCTCATGTTTTCTGCTTCTGCTTGGTTTCCACCACCGCTCAGCTCTTTCCTCATAGTATGTGGAACTGCGACGTCAGTTGATCCTCCTGAGTCAACTTCCATCTTTTAAAAACTTTTTCTCGCCAACAAATCTCAAAAACCTTATAGCTCGCAAATGTGACAATGTTGTCAAAACCCTTTTTACAGGGCGTTGACTTAAATGACGAAGTCAACTACGTCAATATAAAGGGCTCTAGATATAGATTAGGTTTTGAACACACTTATGGCGTAATTTGCTTGCAGTGCTTGCAGTGGTACTTAAATGACGACCTCAACTACATCAATATAAAGGGCTATAGATCCATTTACGTTTTAGAAGAGTCAAAAAATTAATGGTGGCGTTGCGATATATCTAAAGACAGACTCAAATGCTTCACCTTTAAGTACTTCTGTTCTGAAGAAGCCTGAAGAATTTACGTTCAAGGCTGGAGGCATATATTTTGATAAACTTATCAAATTCTCACTATTTACAGATCTCCTGCAATAGATTTATGAATAAGTTATGTATTACATTAGACCAGCTTGACTATCCGCAAGAAGAAGGAAAGTGGATTCGAGCAGAAAATAGTATAGGTAACCCAAGTAATACGTATTTCTGCTTGTTTGCTTCATCAGGCCTAAGTGACATACAGTCTGTAGACATACATTCCCATACATTCAGATACGGGTGCGACCTGAGGAACCAAAGATGGAGAGGAAACAAAACGACATACAAAGTTCTTCTGTTTGTGATGATAACGATGATTAACGATGATTAACGATAATTAAGGATGGTTAACGATGATTTACGATGATTAACGATGATTAATGATGATTAATGATGATTAATGACGATTGACGACGACGACGATTGACGAGGAAACAAATATGGAGGGGCATTCGTTTCGGGCCTGATGAAGCCAACGAAAACAATGTGTAGGTTGGTTTTTGTTCTGTGTCATTTTTTTTCCTCTCCATCTTGGTGGTGAAATATGGCAACTCAGAGGTATCAAAATTCGTATCCATTCCATCCTGTGATGGATAATCAATCTCGTTTGGTCCATTCTCCAACGTCACCTGTTCTTTGTTGATATTTGAGGTCGAGGTACTGCTAGAAAATGGTATTCTGGAAAAATTAATTTCCATATAAAAAGTCTCCATACAAGATTTTTTTACTGCAGAATTTCATATTACACTGTCGTGTATACGTTAAGCCTGCAATCCCTAAATATGTGGTTGTATTAAGTGTACCATCACCAAACTACGATTTACAGTTACTACTATTTTCACGACATACTAGATTTTCCAACCAATTTCCATATGAATATTTTTGTTTTAGTATTGAGGAATTGACATTTGAAATTAGTGTCTCATAATGTTAGTGCTGGGAGAATGCATTTGTGATTAGTGGAATGCATTGGAACAGTTCAAAAATATGAATGAATCGTTTTCACTTAATCTCGACTGAAAGACTGGAATACCCACTCCTTTAACGTTTATACTTCTTGTGGTAGTGCTGCATAAAGTAGTTTGTTCGCGAACTAGTTCCTAGAGCTAGAATCGGAAGCCTGAGATTCGCTTTGCTTCTGTGGCTTAGAGATAGTGTTTCCTTCTCATAAAACTAGCGCAGTTTTTTTGTTTAGAATACTCTACCTTAGCTAATCCCGTTGATCCTAAATTTGCTTGCAAAACAACATTAAACAACTCCCATGTCGTTTATTGTACAGTAATCTGCCAATGAAACAGATTTTTCGTTTCTTTGTCCCTTTCTGTGTTATTATGGTGAATTATCGAAAAAAAGAATTGTAAATCACGAGCAAACAGTATTCAAAGATAGAATTTAAAGCACAAGACAGTAGAAAACACCAGCAGGAGTTGCTTCAGGTGGTGAATACCTAAATCTGTTTTATAAAAATGTCCCATCTGTGTCAGATGGAATTCTGATTCAAGCTTTCCTTTTGGTGCCTGAGAAAAATCACTTTCCTCACTTTCTGTGCAATGAAATGTCGCATCAGTGTCCTATGAATGATCTTATAACAGCTTGCGTTATTAACATTCCTATGTCAATACTCAATAAAACACTTATTCGTCACGATAGCGCAAATTGTTAATAAAACATGCTATTATATCTCTCGTATCCGACCAAATTTCTATATACATATTCTTCACTCAGGATTCTGTATCCCCATCGATAGTATTTAAATTACGACACTAAAAAACTTTCTGAAAGTCTTGTACTTGTGCAGTTCTCGTACCTTTCACCTATATACCATAGCAGTTTGGATATAGAAAGTCGCAGAAAAATGCAGATTGTTCAAAATTCTTATGTTAGTTTTATTCATGGCATAAGAAAATATGATCACACTTCGAATAAGTTGTTAGAAACTAAACGGATCAACATGAGAATCAGATTCAACATTTCTGCGATCACCTTATTTGATAAAATTATTACACAAAAGAGACCTACCTACCTTTATAAAACAATTAAATTTTGAACAGAAGTTCACAATATGAATATTAGATCCACACTCCTCATCACTCCTCCTACCCCTAAAACCACTATTTATGAAAGGAGTTGCTAAGGAATATAACAACATCCCTAAAGAGTTTAAGTATTTTATTTTAAAAAACCAGCAAGAATGAAATGTCATAAGTTTATTCAATTTTTATTATTAAATTGATTGGACCATTCAACTCATTCATTACTTTAATAGTACATTTTTTTTTGTTTCTTTGTAAGGTTGAGTGTAAAAACACGCAATGTGAACTCCGCCTTTTAGTAAAACAAATGAAGACAATTATTATTATTATTATTATTATTATTATATACAGGGTCCGCAAAGTTGGGGTTTTCCTTTACACGACGTGTAGATCTTGAAAACATAAGCAATTTTTCTTAGTACCGTATACAACAACGTCTTAAGGGAACCGAGATAAAGGGCTCTGCAACATCAAAAATATCTGAATACCGTCCTGTAGCCGCGACCCGCGATATCTCAGACTGGTACCGGCTACTAGCTGAACCCGACGACAGAACTGGGTCGGGGGTCGGGGTCAGTGTGTCAGGTCAGTCTGCAACCTTCAACCGACGGTAAAGGGTCTCGCGTATAGAGGTAACGAACCCGTATAATCGATTGCGTTTCAAAAAAAAGAATAATAATGGCACACTCATACACCAATAATGAACTCGTTGATATGTTGTTAATTTATGGCGAATGTCTTCAAAATTATACAGAATCGTCGCGAGTGTATGCAGATCGTTTCTCTAGACGACATCATCCAAGGCCCCGCAGATTTGTGTATCAGAGAGTCAGGGATACGGGCCATTTGGAGGAATTTCGAGGTGGGCACAGTGGGAGGCCTAGACAACCACGAATGGTGCAAGTTGAGGAAGAACTACTGAATCGCGTAGACGAGAATCCCTCAACAAGCACTAGAGACGTGGCTAGAGAAGTGCAAGTATCAAAAACTAAAGTGTGGCAAACGTCCAACGTGTACAAGCCCTTCAACCTGACGATTTTCCAGCAAGAGTGCGGTTTTGTGAGTGGTTGTTACATCAACATGACAATAATCCGGTCTTTTTGAAGTGCATATTGGTGACAGACGAATCTACGTTCACGCGTAATGGGGTGAATAACTTTCGATTTCAGGCAGAGACGTACTTGGCCCTTCTCGTCAACTGGAGAGTGAGTACTTTTTCCTTTATTTTTTTTTTACTTGGTCGCCCTCGTTTCACTACACATTACCTTTGTTATTTCAAGGGTAGTTGTTTCTGAAAAGGATATATATATATATATAAAACTTCAGCAATTTCAAATTTATGTTGGGCTGGATACGTGGCGGTGTATTATTGCACAATATGGCAACCATGGCGCACCCTCAGAAATAGACGCTGACATGACATAAGTCAGGCGACTTGCCCTTGAATAGCCTGGACCGTGGAATTAAATACAGTATAGTAGAAATCACATCGTCACAAAAAGCCACGATTGGTTGTCGACTTACGTAAAATGGCAAGTCATATAAATTTAATGTGCTAGAAAATGAAGAAGATATATTAGCATGTCTCACCGACTACAAATATGTCTACATGGTTGCCGCTTATGCACAGGCTTATTTTGTCGAATTCGCAAGTTTACGGCAAGTCGTAAATAATATCATATCGTCATGTTGACGTTGAACTATGAGGTTAAAAATACCACAATACAGG